TATAAATAATAAAATAATTATTTATATAAAAATTATTATTTATAAAATAATAATTATATATAAAAAAATAATAATTTATAAAAAAATAATAATTTATAAAAAAATAATAATTTTTAAAAAAATAATTTTTTTATAAAAAATAATAATTTTTAAAAAAATAATTTTTCGATAAAAAATAATTACGTATATTAATATAATATTATTTAATTTAACTATTATTATAAATAATATAATATTTAAAATAAAGAATTATTTTAAGTAACCATATATTACCGCTATGGTATTATTGCCTGCAGGTATGTACAGAATCTTCCAGGCCTAGAATTCCGATAAACCAAATTGGCAGATTTGGCAGTCTCGCCAGTTCAACAAGGACAATTGACCAGGCCTTTCCAAGTTGTCGGAGACCAATCCTACCAATTCTCCCATGGCTCTTGGCTCCCACACCAACCATTTCTCCACACCATTTTCTACCCTTCGGTAACTTCTTCCTAGCAAATCATTTTACTACCGTCACATCTCAAGAGAGTGCGGCTCCAAGCCACTACAATAAGAGGCTTATCTACATTAAAAACTCAAAAACTCAAACAAAAAAAAGCAACAACAATCACTAACCGACAGTCTTTGTGTTAATCGAGGGGCTTCCCAGACTTGGGACTTGTGTATATACCCATCAGCAACTCAATATTTGCAATTGCACAACTGGAAATACCCCGTGGATAGTTGAATTTGTTTTTTGTTATTATACAGATAATAGCGGAACGAAGCATATCTCCGCACCAACGGAAAAGACGGAAAAAAAACCGAAGCACGTCGCATCAGTTCACGTTCCTCCCGCATTCAAGAAGTTCTTCTGTCGTGCTGTATGTTTGATCGGCACCGACAATGCTTATTCTTTGTACCTTGACTGTTTTCGATTGATCATTTTGTGGTGTGCGGCGCAGTCGGCATAATGGATGACACCACGAGCCTCGTATCGGATCTTCTCCAAAAGCTCGCCGAGCTTGATAACAAGGTCAATGAATATCGCCAAGACATGGCACAAGAATTCCGTCGGTATTCGCATCAGCGGCTACGAGACATGCCGGGACATGTGTCTGCTAGAGTCAAAAATTTGGTTGCTGAGCAATTCCACAACTATCCGACCTTGAGTCCAGCTCTCGATCACGATGTTGGTTCGCAGTCGCAATTCGACACTAATACTACCAGTCCGGATGAAAAGTTATGGTCACCTAAACTGTTGTCGCCGCCGCCAGCTTCCCCTCAGAGCCCAGGAACTCCCATAGAAGACGGCGCTCGGAGCCCACATGAGAGAGAGCGCGAGTTCCACGGTCTGTTTACACCGAGCTATCTTCCCTTGCTGGATGCCGTACAGCGACATACTTCGACACTGCCTGCCTTACCGTCCCAAGCACCAGAAGTTAGAGAATCTAACGATAGCCAAAAACTATTTCTCTCACCGTTAAGCAATGACATTTTACCACGACCGGATCCTGTTCGACGCCACACTTTGGATACTGTCTCTTCAGCCACTTCTGACGATAGTGCGACGCGACCAAGAAGCGCCCTCCGCCGCTCATCTAGTTCTTCCGTCAAGACCCAGAGCCCTATAAGACGAGTACGATTCGACGTAGAAGGCGAAGAAGTTCTTCCCACTTCATCGCCTCCAATGTCACCCCGAGCAACAGACTTTTTGTCATCCCCGATAGGCGGCAACCCCACTAGTCTCCTAGATGACTCATACAACGCGATCGTCATTAACGAAGAAACCGGTCTACTGGGCAGCTCTCCGCCAATGCCAAAGAAGATTACCTCGACTGAGCGCCTCAAGGCTCTAGCGAGGAGCTCCACCGAGGATACCTCGAAATGGGAGGTTGTTGGTAGCCTGGAGGCCATTGATGATGACGAGGATGATGAATTAGTCATGGCCATTTCAAATGGGCGGAAAATGAATAACGCACATCAGGTTGCAGCCAATCATCTAAACTCCGATATTACAGCACACCGTATAAATGATGCGCGTCTTCCAACCCAACTTGGCGCACCTCTACCGGTTGTGGAAGAAATTGGTGAAGACGAAGCTGCTGACGAGATTGATGATACGGATGATGTTCTCATGATGCCTCCGTTGAGTTCCTTTAGAGACAAGAAACACTTTACCCCGCCGCTTGAAACAATTCCCGAACCTAAACCAAGCGTTCCCGATTCGCAACAGCCAAATAAGCAGCCTAGTAGCAAGCCAACGGTACCGGCTAACCCCGTCGAAGAGCCAGTGCTTGAGGCAGAAGATATGTTCGAGTTTGATAACAGTCATGAGGTCAAGCCGGCTACGAAATATATCGATGAGGATGAAGATGAGGATGAAGAAGATGATGATGATGCCGACGTGACCCCTATAGCTGAGAAACCGGTCTTATATTCTACATCGCCTGCGATTCCCGTCGCGAAACCTGCTGCGCCGGCACCTACCTCACCGTCCCCACGTCACGTGGCCGCATCGGCGGGATCATATCGCGGAAAGGCGTTCTCGATTGGCGTTGTTCGTGACCCAGAACTATATAAGAAGGCTGCCGAGATGGGCGACTTCTATACTTTTGTCGGTAGTGTTGACGGGCGAAGCGGGGTTGACGAAACAAGCAGTTACAGGCCTGAACTGACTTACTTCAACGGAACACCAAGAAGTCTCAGCGAGCGCTTGATCAAGGAGGATTTGGACGAAGAGCGTCGAAATACAAATACCAACGAAACCAGCTAAGCTTGTGCTTAGGTTCACCTTGAAACACAACATCGTGTCCGAATATATGGAAGAATCTGTAAACGAAACCACGGCTACCACAATGTCGGCATTATAGCCACTCTTGTTATGATTCCTAGTTGCATTGTTCTATATGCCCATCTTTTTGGCATTCGGGCCTACGTGGGGCGAATCTGCATGCATATTGGCGTTTTAAGGGTGGCCTCATTCTACTTCGGTCTCATTCATAACACGATAAAAACAACCACGGAATATTCCAATACGTGCATACCAGAGTTGTTGGCGATTTGCCTTCTTCCGCTATATAGGGGTGGGGTATGTGAGAAGAGTCGGCTGCGAGGTCGGGTTGCATCGGGGCCGGGCATATGGCAAGGTTCTGTTTCTCGCTCTGCATCCGGATATCTGGACATGTTAGGTCACAGGAGTTGTTGGTTTTGAGAAGCTTCGTTGCGATTTTGCCTGGGGGTTGATAGGCGTGATAATGGTCGGTTGTAACCACACATATTTACAAGCTTGAGACTGGAAAACCTTGCTACGATATAGTCCTGAGGTGTGGAAGGGCTGGGGGTACTTTGGTCGTAGGGTTATGAGTATGCTATAAACGAAGAGGCCATACTCCTGTACGTATTGATAGGTAGTCAACTATAATAATGACAATACCATTTAGTTGGTTATCAATAGTATATATTGCTCGTAAGCAACGTCGGTATCATAAAGGGTGAGGCTGAGCTATTTGGAATAGAAGCTCCATGCATACATAACATATAAGTATTTCGGTAGATATCATAGGGAGGTATTTCTGCAACGTTAGATGCGGAGCACCCGACGTTTACATATATCCATTTGCATCGAATAATACCTGTAGACTTTTACCAATATTTTTACCAATATATAGATGTATGTTGCAGCATATCTGAGGTACCTTGGTTAGGTACTTCCAATATGCATCACTAGATTAGTTTGCCTTAGTCTTGGCATTGTACCTTATTAATCCCCACCGAACGCAGATATGCTAAAGATTTGTGCCTATCGAATCTATCGATTTTGGAAAGCTAAAACAGTAGCCTAGTAGTAGAGCGACCTTTAAACAACCCACACATCCTTAATTATAGCCGATCGAGGCGCCGGTTCCTGCTTTCTAGAAGCAATCAGATATCATGTCACACACAGCCTACTTAGGTAGGCAGGCACAAGCAATTACAAACCAACCTTGAATACATACAAGCATTATATTTTAACCAATGATGATAAAGGAAAAGAGGGAAATTTGGACGAGGCGTTTCGCACCGAATTTGTTCACCGCGGGCGGTGCCGCTAAACCGCATTCCGCTACCGAGGGGCGCTCATCTTAACACTTTGGGACAACCTTCATCCTTCAGATTCATCTTCAGCCCGTTGTCCCGTAGCAGCGTAGTCCGTTGCACCGTCTCCCGTCCCTTTCACACCATCCCACCCCCCAGCTCCTTGCTTGTCGGTAGAAGGTCGTTTTGGTACCTGATAGCTCCAGCGAGCCCGGAATATCCCTCTCTACGTGTTCTATGTGCTACTACTTTCCTTTTACTCCAGTGTGATTGATTGATTGATTGATTCTACCGTTCTATCTAAGCCCGTGTCCTAGCTCGTTCATCATCACTTACATACAGCCAGCCCAGCCAGCCTACCTTAGCCAGCCTACCTTAACCAGCCAACCTTAACCAGCCAAAAGTCACTTTCATCCGCCATGCGGTACGGTAGAGTCATGTAAAAAACGAGTCCTACGATATTCCGTTCTTCCTTAGCGTTTGCTATATCGTCTCGCCCTCCCTCCCATCCTTCCCTCCCGTCGCGGTTTTTGTTTGGTTGATCTGCACAAGCGTATGCGATCATGGGTGATAGTCGGCCGTTCGTTACGATAAGTGAATGGCAGCCCACGGGGGATGGGAATAGTTTCAGCAGTGGAGATTCTGCCGTACGTCGAGATAGAAAGACAGCCAGGCCTCAAGCTCGATCTCGTCTAATTGCATCTTCTCAGTATGGTTCTAGCATTGAAGATGAAAAGACGCCAGCAGCCACGCACGACATCAGTCGGGTGAGCTACCACGTCAAGCATCTACCCGAATTCGCCAAGACACTCGAGGATGTGCGTTCTAACCTCTCCCTCTATTCATCCTATTGTAGTACTAACGGCCCTACTTCGATAGTCGGCTACGCGGGCTTTCCCCAACCGGGGAAGCTCACAAAGGTACAAGAAAGTGCATGTGCTTCTTCTTCACTGGACGTGCGACGACTTGTTCGTCCTGAAGGAGCTCGATGACCTGGAGGCATGCCTTCGGGAGGAATATAATTTCCAAACCGAAACCTTTCCGATACCGTCCGACAATGCACATCTCGAGCTGATGTTGAAAGTTGGCGCCATGATAAAAGAACACGAATCAAGCGATACGCTGTTCGTCATCTATTATGGTGGCCACGCGAGGATCGATGACTCGAGACAGAGTACATGGTGCGGGTGCGTTTCCAGGCTGTTACTCTTGTACCCCCTACTTGATAGTTATGCTAATTGTTAAACTAGAACTCGAAGTTCGGATTCTCCCTGGCTACAGTAAGCCTATATCATGCTAAACCCTATATGGATCGCATGTGTGTGGTAACTCTAACCTATATGTAGATGGTCCGCTATTCAGACGTTGTTGGAGCGATCTCTATCGGATGTTCTCATCCTATTAGATTGTTGTGCAGGGGCTGCAAGTGCTACATTTCCCAATGGTAATAGCATCACGGAAACGATATCGGCATCTAGTTGGGACGCTATTGCTCCTGATCCTGGGAGGTACTCGTTCACCAACACTCTGATTGAAGTCCTTCAGGACTGGAAACGGAGGACGTTTTCCGCCGCGATGCTCCACGCCGAGGTTCTCGCACGCCTCAAGCATCCAAGACCCGAAATGCTGAATGGCAAGCACTTCGAAGCACGTGCTACACCGGTGCATTTTATGATGACCGCCAATCATAAAGCACCAAGTATCGAGGTAACCCGGCTGATATCGCCAGACGCAAGACCACCTTCGCCTCCTCAGGAGCCGGGGTTCGAACCAACTTCTCCCAATGGTCGATCGGCCGGTCCGCAAGATATCGTCGGATCGGAGCCAAATGAAGATGTACCGCATGTGATGATTTCCCTAGCCCTCGAAGAAGACCAACGCCTCAACATCAATGACTGGGAACACTGGCTTTCAAATATACCAGCACTAGCCAAGTATGTCAAGGTCCAAGGGGTATTCAAGAGCCATTCCACATTACTGCTATTATCGATGCCGGTCATGATCTGGGATCTACTTCCCGATAATCATGCTTGCAATTTCGTGGCCTTCATTCGATCGAACAACTTGGCTGCTCGTAACAACAGTGAGCCAAGGTCACTAGAGGAAGAAGTGCCAACGAGTGCCGATTATGATGCAGATTTGAGGTCAATTTATTCGGGAACTACAGCATATACCTCCAGACCGTTAGAGTCGGGTAGGTTATCGATAATGTCAGCCCTTTCAAGCGAGAGAACGTCGATGGATCCGATGTATAGAAGATCTGATGGCCCGATGGTCGATGCTACTTCTCGAAGCTACCGCCCCACGACGAATGCGATATCTAAGGGCCACCATATGTCCAGTGGGGATTGGCAATCAAGGCAACGCTCTATGCCTGGTGGTTCGTTACATAAGAGTATGTCTTATAGTAATATAGCGCAGCACCTGGCTATAAATAAGCCTCGGAACATGCGGAGATCTTCCCTAGCGTCTGTAGCTAGTCAACCTGAACTCCCACAACACGCTCAGACACGGCTGGAAGAATACTTCGAGGGTAACCCATTGCCGACTATTGCCGTCAGAGAATTCCTCGCGTCAACCCTTGGCGTAGAGACCGCGGACATTGACGTAAGTAATATCTAATGAACATTATATAGTACTTGAGCTTACGCAATTCAGACTTGGTTCAAAAACCGTCGAGAGCAACAAGAAGTCGAGAATCAATTGCAGAGCTTAAAGATAGATGATCAAAGCCGGGAGCCTCCGAACCATGGAGCTCAGATGATTCTTCCTGGGCACCTCAACAAATTGCTAGAAATATTCCCAGAGGATCAGATTGTGATAATTGACCTCCGCTCGCCATCCGAGTACGCCCAATCTCACATCCATGGCGCAATCAACTTCAGGGCGCCCGCTTCCTTTGTGGCACGAGCCACGATGGAAATGATCGAGAAGGCACTTCCGGATGAGACAAGCCGCGATTCATTCAATAATTGGTACGCAAGCAAATGCGTCGTATTTTATGATAAGATAGTCGAATATCCCTGGGAGACGCCCGTAGCAGACGCGCTTTTACAGAAGCTTAAGAGCAAAGGTTGGACTGGGCAATGCTTCGTGCTTAAGGGTCACTTCCGCGAATTCTCGCAATCATTCGACAAGTACATTGTGGGTAAGAATACCAACAGTAACGCGAAGGAGTATCTTGCTGGCCTACAGGAGTCTTCATGTGAAAAGAGGGTAAGTTCAAACGTAACTCCCCCTTATTGAACATTGCGCTTACAATATCGTCATAGAAGGATAGCCATCAACGATACGATGAGTGGCTTAAACTCCTCGAAGGTGAAGATAGGGTACAAACAACTGACCTCGTACCGGCGGTTAAGAGCGAGCGCGTCGAGGCTACGACGAAGCACCAGAGGGAGATTGAAGAGGAATTCGAAAAAAGGGAGCCGGAACTATACAGGGAGGCCGCGGACCGTGAGCCGGACGGGAATTGGGCCATTAAAGGTCCTATGGTAGCTCATTTGGAACGTGGGATCGCTAAGATGCAAGAAGCTGGAAAGGGCGCTGGTATGAGCAAATCAGGACCAGATTCCTCCGACTATAAACGAGCCGCGGATAAGCTCTCTATGTCGGAATATGACTTACTCGAGTCCGAGGATGAGCACCCGAGCCACAGCGCAATCCCCCCCAAGAGGGGATCGGGATCCGCCCCTCCTAAATCGACACCCGACGAACCTGCCCCCGAGAAGAGAGGACGATCCACACTAGGTGGCGGGCGCAGTTTTCTAAACAAAATAATGCGAACCGCCCGCCCGGATACTCCATAATAGGAATATCCCTATTACCGTTATTATCGCTACATTTCGCTCTCTGGGCGAGAATAAGAAGATATTTACGGCATTTATTATTAGGCATATTTAGGACGGATATGAATGGGACTAGGACGATATGGTTGATGAGATAATGGTTGTGATTTACTAAGCGGTTGGGTAGGTGGAAATAAACGGGGTTAAGGAGTGAGGCAACTAACTAAGTTGCGGGTGGTGTATTGTTGGGAAATATTGCTCCGGTACGCGTCTTATATCCCCCGTCGGAAGGTCTTATGGTGGCTCCCTCTTCTAGACGAGTGTAGGATATTTCGTTTTGATCTTACCTCGCGGTGTCTTGGCGTGTTGTTTTATATAGCGCTTATTTGAAGGATAGATGATGGGTGGATATTGGTAGCGCATATCCATTGATATATCATATTGTATTAAATATTAACTAGCCCCTGAAGATTACGTGTTCGTGGTTTTATACTTACGTATCTCCTAAGTGGAACATATAGTAGCCACGCGCTTACCTTCTCAGTCATAGTTAAAATTCGAGCACGGATATATGTGAAGTTCGCCATCCGGTAGTTGTACGTGTTGTACTTTTTATCTTTTCGTATTTAGTTAGGTCATTTGACTAAGTCGACAGATACTTCATGCCGGCTTGATTCTTAACTCTAGGATGGATGTGTTTGTACGCGCATATGCGTCTTCCATTAATAAAGACAAAAAGGGGACAGACAAAAATATACCCACCTGGTAAAAGAAAAAGAAAAGGGTGCAAAAGAAAAAAGATGTTGGACCGGATGGGATTCGAACCCATACTTCTCCATAGAAGACTTGACTTTTGACCTCCGGGGTGGCCATGGGGTTGGCCGTCCGGGGCGCGGGATGGGATGGAGTGTGCACCGTTACACCACCAGCCCTTTTCTTGGTTTGTTAATATTCACTGTGCTATTAGGAGTTATGTATATGCATGCCTTGGGTTGCGAGGCTGGCAGGTGCCTGTTAGTTGCTACGGCTGCAGGTTGTTGTTGTTTGGCGGGCTGTGGGTTGACTGACTGACTTACGGGTGCACGGGTTACGTACCTAGGTACCTACCTGGTTATTTCGAGATTTTAATGATGGGTGACACTCCTAGATGTGTATGTGGCATTCCTATGAAGGGTGATAGGGTGATGCTAGATGTAAGAGGAGGGGTTTGGCGGGTTATAGTTGATTCTATGTAGACAGTCACACGACGTGCCCCTATTTTAGGCAGACGTATAAAATAGTATTCATATCTACACTTTACGCGCATTTCATTCCATGTCTACCCTTTTACTACCACAGGATACCCATGAATTAGTTAAGATCAAGAAGATTCAAACCAATGCAAGTCTTGGTAACAATTAGGACTTAGCTATATAGCCCTTGACTACCTAGGTAAATAGTACATACTTCTACAGTGGAACTCCCTATAGCGATAAACAAGTTCCTAGACAATACCGTAGTAGCACACTACGTAGGTATATATTAAGAGATATATCTTAACGTTTGATGTCGTGATCACTGAGCAGATATGGAATGGTAGGGAGAAGTATGTATTTGTCAAGGCCTATTTCACGATTAAGTACACAGATAACCTCCGATGCCGTGTGATATGCCCAGGCTCCCAACTATCGTAGACTCTTCCTCGAACCTATATACAGGACTACTTGTTTCTCTATTGCATTGCGAGGTCCTTATACCTTGAGACGAATGGATGAGAACGTTAGCCTCGATGGTGGTATTAAGGCCGCCTCCGCTACCGAGAATCGACCTGATTAATAGGAACGCCGTTTGCTTAGTAGTCACCGCCACACCTAGTCCTCCGACTCATCACTACTTGTATCTCGGTAGCCGCGCAAGGGTGCCGATTTGTCGATTAGGTGATACATTCTCGCTGTGTCGAAGAGCCTCGGCTTTGCCTCTTGTACTTCTTTCATGTATTCTTCAAGCGAAAATTCATCGGAAGGGGCTGGCAAGACATCGTGGATGTCATAACCCATTTTTTTCCAGGAACCTTTAAAGACTTGGGGCCAGTTTTTGTGGTCCTTATCTAGACGGCCACATAACTTTGCGTCTCGCAGCTTCGTCTGGAAGAACTGCATCAATCTGTTCTCATCCTCGGCGATCTCCTCGATGGTTAGGCCAGTGGGGTTGCGAAGTGTCATCCATGAGTAGCTGTAGTGGAATCGACGTTTTAAGGCCGCCAACATCTGAGCTAAACCGGCTCGTCGAAGGGATCGTCGATCATCGTAGGTCAACTCATAACTCCACCATAGAGCTGCTGGGCCGTCTAATAAGATCTCAAACAAGAGTTTGAGCTGCTTCTCGTTGGCTGCGGCGGTAACATGGTCTTCAAGGAAGGATTCAACACGCTCAACGAAGCGGTCTAAGTCGGTAAAGATCGGGGTATTGCCGTCGAATATCATGCCAACATTTTTCGGGTCGGGATAATCAGGGTTGAATCGGCCGATATCTTCTCGTCTGAGCTGCGACACTGATGAGGTTCCGGGGATAGATTGAGTAGCCTGTGTAGCAGAGATTGAGTCGGTTATCACCTTTGTAAGGCCTTCCAGTCGTGAGAGGAGTTTGTCTATGCCGACCAGTTGACCAGGCTGATGTTCGATATCGTCGTCTGGAGACGAGGCTGTTTCGAACAGTCTTCTGGCAACGTTCTTAGTAGATCCGGTGGACTGACGAGTCGTCGGCTTAGAACGAGGCTTGACTCGAGCCTTCTTGACAACCTTGTTGGATGATGGGCCGGCGAGTCCGCCAACATCCTCGTCCATAGATTCAGCCATGGTAGTTGAATCAACGTAGCAGATTTGTTGTTGATGGTGTAAAGGTTAGAGGGATTTCGGGTGAATGGTGCGAGATTATATACGCGTAGAAAGTGAAAACAAAAGGAAGGAGCAACCTAAGGAAGTAACAGCTTTTCTTCCTGGCAAATTTTCTGTTGCTAAGGCAATTACTGATTTTATCTGCGTCAGGCATATCTTTCAGGTGTCAACAGTCACTTAGCGCCAGTTACCTAGCAATGATGCATGAATGACTCAGAACCTATGCCAGGAGAACACCATCAGAGGAAGATCATCGCTGTTAAAGCATGTGGATAGTTTCGCTGGGTAAATATAAGAAATACACTTTGCAACTACCTTGGTACCCCTACAATTCTTCTCAAAAGACCCGGGATGCTAGCAACCAGCTCTCCGACGAGATTTGGAAAATGATTTACGTAGAGTTAGAGGTAGGAATATTGAAGGGCAGTCCCGGATAGGTATAGTTTAATCAGTAAAGAGCTCTGGATGACCTTGAGTAGAACTATGGACCGAAAGAAAGGGGAAACTCCTAGAAACCCAGAAGGCGGCTTCGAGCATAGGTCGTAAGAGCCTCACGATCTCAACGCTATCGCTTAGTCTAAACGAAAGCCCTAGGCCAAGGGCAACTACCTATCCAGATCCCGTGAGCTAATTTACAGCTATAGTTTAAGAATAGATTTTATCGTATTCTCGCACCACTGTGTCCAATCGAGCCGCGTTCGTTCTGAGTCATTTCCCTTAATCACTTAGGTACTTTAAGGCAGCGTCTTTATCGTAGTACGAAGTATAATGTCGAAGAATGTTAGTCGGACTTCCGAACGTTGCGAGTAATATCCATATATCTACCTCTTCTAAGGCCGTCAAGCCCATGCTACTTTAAGCGCGCTAGTTCCACAATGACACGATGCCGCTCTTTAAAGCAGATTCCCCTTACCCTCGTGTAAGCCGTAACGTGTGATGAACCAGACTCCGTAACTACAGATATCTCCAAGTGGTTTAAAGCACTTACAGACGGGGTTTACTTTATGAAGCTATAGTGATACTTAAAAGGCCAGACTAGTAGGCTATTTTAAGTTCTAGGTGCTAAGGTGCGATCTGGATATAACGACGGTGCCAAGGAGACAGAGAGCCGCGCTTCTAACCCCTCAACCCCTCAACCCCTTAACCCCTTAACCCCTTAAGATAAATCATGTACTTAGTACCTAAAGCATAGAGGCGCAAAGAAGGTGCGTTGAAAGAAGCACTAGCTGAATAACGTAATGCTCAATAGAACCCACGTGACTAGTTCTCCATACCCCATACCCCATACTTACCTCTACAATATCTAAAAGAACGACTAAAAAAAAGATGCTCTCTTCAATAAGGAAACTCGCTTAGGTTACAACACTTGCATTTCCACATATCCTAAGAATGACGATGGCACGTTTCTCCTTCACGTTGCAAAATCAAGATAATACACCTTGAGGACATTTTATCGTATTTCCGATTGCTACGGAGCGAACCTGCCGAGACTCGTCATCGTTTTGAGTCATCTACTTGCTAAGTTAGCATCCGAATCGCGCGATTCCGGCTATGGCTAGAAGCACATCAACGTGTGGGTTTGGTCGGCGGTCTCGAAGGTTACGACGACGTAACAATCCATTCCAATTAATTTATTTATTTCCCTATCCCTCTCTTTTAACGTGAGCTTTCGGTTGAAAAAATTTGCGGCTAGCGGTACCAGGGAGTTGGAGGGTAGTTTTAACAGAGGCCATGTAATGCAGGGCAGATGGTAGGTTGCTTTTAGGATATTTTCAAATTAACCTTCATTTGAATATAATATAACCATTCTCCAATCCGGCCCCCGTCACTTTCAACCGTCTAGTGGATGAATGTTGCTTTCTATTCAGGGACGCGTCTACTAACCCCACAGAAAGCACTCAGATAGACACCCTCTTGCTTTGCCGACCATCTGGGGAAAGATGACGAGTCATTCTTAACCTATTTCTATATTTCTATTAGCAAAACAGCCGATCATGGAAATTGCGTCTTCAACCGAGGAGCCCCCCTGGGTCGGTACCTTTACACCGGGAGGGGTGAGGCTTTACGTGAGTCACCTCTACATGAACTAACGAACCTATCTAACCTTTATTGAGCAGAATTATCATCTTCCGACATTTGTTCGACACGGATACTCATATAGTATGCCTTCGTAAAACGCTGGATTGAAGTTGCGGAGTCAGCGACGCATGGTAAGGAATACGTTTTCAATTTCGTGTTCCTGCTCTCGCAACGAAAGTCTGGCTAGTCCAGCCTTTTCAAAGACGCCATGACTGCAACGCAACTCAATATGGGTACTCCTGCAATATCTCTTTCGTGAGTGGCCCGTTAATGCAGGTGGTCTGCTACTGAGGTAGCATCCGGGTATATATACAATGCTCCTCATAGCGTTGACCAAGTTCCGATCCGGGAACCATCTGTTTTTCGGAGAGCTTTTTTTTCCATCGTCGCCTAACATGGCATTCGGTTACGCGTGGCTCTATATACTAAGAATGCAACCCCTATACCATCCGATGCCTTGGCCGGAGATCTATAGATCTACTAAGATGATTAGATTCGTTGTCCCTTTGTATTCCTTCCCTGAACTCTCGAAACTCTTGTGGCTTGAAGATTCGTTGTTCCTAGCCTTGACATTCGCTTTATATATCGGGACTACACTGCGTTTATCGCGATGCGCTGGTGGAACGCTTTAATCCTGGCCGCTTGCGTCGGCCAGACGGCTGCGCATGCGGATTTAAACGATCCTAGCCATAGCCTTCCAAAGTTTGCAGGGGCCAGAAGGTTTTTGTCGGAGTTTAAAGGGGGGAGGAGATGGGACAGCCAGGCACGCGCCATACAGAGGGCAGAAATGCTAGAGGCTCGTGATGAAGAGGAGCTCGAGGAGCGAGGCGAACTTGAACCACGACAGAGAGGTGGACGATGCGGCGCGGGCCATGGTAGTTGTGCGGATGACCAATGTTGCTCGGCTGAAGGGTTAGTTTACACTCGTCATTATCGACAATATGCTGACCGAATCAAGCTATTGCGGCGTAGGAGAAGTGTATTGCACTGCACCCGACTGCCAAATCAGCTACGGACCGGCATGTGACGGTAACCAAAAGCCTGATGGCGCAGACACGTCAACCATAGCACGTCCAAAAGTAGGCGACGTACAATATGGCGGCGTGGGAATTTATGACTGCGTAAATAATGGCGATATCGCTGTAACCTTTGACGATGGCCCATGGGAATATACCAACGACCTTCTCGACAAGTTGGCAGTATGTATCGTAATCGCCCTACATTATTTCAAAGTTGGTGCTAACAAGGACGAAGAAATACGAGGCGAAAGCGACGTTTTTCATTACTGGCAACAATATTGGCAAGGGAAAGATTAACGACCCAGACTTGCCCTGGGCCTCCGTCATTCAAGTAAATTACTTCGTCTAGAGTGTCTAGAAGTGAATACTAACTGGTCATAGCGAATGGCCGCCGAGGGCCATCAGATTGCAAGCCATACTTGGTCGCATGAGAACTTCAGCCAGTTGACTACAACTCAATTCAAGAACCAGATTATATGGAACGAGATTGCTTTTAACGATATCCTTGGCTACTTCCCTACCTATATGAGGTTCGCGTCAGCTCCTCCTTAGAAAAGAAAGGGCCCCGTACTAATCTTAAGGCAGGCCGCCCTATTCCATCTGCCCTGCCGCTTGTCAGACTCAGTTAGCTAACCTTGGATATCACGCTCTATACTTTGACTTAGACACGGAAGGATATCTTCATGACGATGCAAGCCAGATCCAGACCAGTAAAAACATCTGGGATGATGCAGTTGATGGATCTAGCCCGTGCGAGGATAGTTATCTCGAGATCGAGCACGATATCCACTACCAAACCGTTTACAACCTGACAGACTATATCCTCGAATCGCTCTTCAACCACGGCTATAGGTCCGTTACTGTGGGGCAATGCTTGGGCGACCCCCCTGAGAACTGGTACCGTGCTGGCACTGGTAAGGTTCCCGAGTATAACTTCACCATCCGTGCCCCGACTGGCACTTGGCCTTGCCTCCCCACACCTACCTCTACCAGGCCGAGCCAGCCGACCAGCACGTTGAAGATTAGCCAAGATGGTCGATGCGGCGACGGGGTAACTTGCGCGGGCTCTATATACGGAAACTGTATGTATACCCTAGCAATCACCTTGAGCATAAGTTTAATAATCCATGCCACTAGGTTGTTCTACCAATGAATGGTGCGGTGGCTCCATCGACTATTGCGGCTCAAACTGTCGCCCGGAATTCGGAACCTGCTCCTCGGCGGACTCGCAGATCCCGACCAGCCGCCCACTCCCGAACGGACCGGGAACCCCTGATGATCCCCTGACCACTACGAGCTCGGCACCCGCCCCTACCGGAACACTTCAAGTATCGATTGAGGGAAACTGCGGTGACGGATTCACTTGCGAAGGATCAGCGTTTGGAAACTGTTGTTCAGAGTCGGTGTAGTTCTCATTTCAATGTTTTTTCTTTTCTTTTCTTTTTCTTTTTCTTTTTTTTTTTTTTTTTTAATGAGGGCATAGGCTGGGTATTGCCTTATGGTGGGACACGGGAAGTCTACAAAATTTATGTTATGAGAAATGAATATGAAAAATTCAATCGTTGTTTGGACCATGTTACTAACTTTTTTTACTTTCAAACTGTAGACACGGCTGGTGCGGCTCAACTATTGACTACTGCGGCGAGGGTTGCCAATCAACTTTCGGATCAGGATGCCAGGCAAGCGACCCATCTCCATCACCTCCAGTGACTTCACTGCCTCCTACCAGCACTAGTACTTCTCCCACCTCTTCCACCACCCCGCCTTCGACATCAGTGACACCACCCCCGGTATCAACAACTTCAACTAAGACGGGGGCCAGCAGCAGTAGTAGCAGCAGCAAGACGACCTCGAAGTCGACCTCGAAATCGACCAGCAAGTCCTCCTCGACATCCCGCTCATCGACTAAGAAATCCACCTCTCATTCTACTTCTCATTCTACCTCTCATTCTACTTCCCACTCGACTAGCCATTCTTCATCGCATACTAAGACTCAGACGAAGGACTGAAGGGCTGAGGAGACGCAGGGGAGCTAGTTACCTGTTAATGGTGACGTACCGTCTTTACTGGGTAAGAAAGAGAGGAGAGTTGCATGAGATCGCCCCATGCCATGAGGGAATATGTTGTTTTGTGGTATAATCTAAGAATTGGTTATGAAAACTAGTCCCATCTCATCTCATCTCAAAGATATATATAATAAATATAGCACGCACAACAACGAACCACTACGTCTCAGCAAGATTTTCTCTAACTCGTGGAAGACCCTCGTATTGTAGACTAGACTAGACACGCACTCGCTATTTTGGTATATATCCCTCTCTCTCCCTTTTCGTCCCGAGAAACGCCAAGATAAACAAAATTCCCCCACCCTCACTCCAAACAGATACTGGGCAGGACGGCGGCGGCAGTGGGAGGAAGTGATGGCGCCGTCCTACGTAAAGCCAACTAATTCCCCTCCCCTGGCCCTCAAACATAAAAGTCAAAACGAGAGCCGCGAAAAAAAAAACCCCAGTGTGTCAGAGGCAAGTAGGTAGATTGGTGGCAGGCAGTATGATACACTTCAGATTTCGCATGCCATCAGCCTAGCAAGAAAACACAACACAGCACAGCACAACACAAAGATCAACAGAACAATGTTCAATTCAGGCATCCATCGTGCCGTTCCGCCCACCCCCAGAGTATCACCTCACCGCCCATATGCAAAAATAATGTCACCTTCTCCCCCTACCCCTCCCCTCCCCTATCCGCCCTCCCCAAAATGGTGATGTTATGGTGCGCAGTTTGCAACGAGCGATATGATATTTCAGTCTCTCGCATGCCATGTCATATCATGTCGCGTCTATATTTTTTCTTTTTACAAGTAGGTAGATAGATAGGTATAGGTTAGGCAGTTAGGTAGGTAGAGGTAGTTGTTGGATCGTCCCAAGTCAAGTCAAGTCAAGTCAAGTCGAATTCCCAATAACAACAAAAAAACAAGCAGACTATATCTCGCTGTGTCCAAAATCCCGAAATTTGCTGCTCTCAGACGCCTTCCCGGCCCGTACTGGCTGGTATGCAATGCAATGCTATGCTATATCGACGAGTTCTGGGCCCTAGCTATTATCCTCTCCATCTCGGCCGGGTCGCTTATACTCCTTTGCCGTTCCGTCCTCTGCTCGTCGCCCGAGCTGCTCGCCGAGTCGTCGCTGCTTTCCTCGCCGTAGACGATGTGTCTTAGGACGCTCTTGTCGAATAGCTCGATTACTAGATGCCGGTCCGGCAGCCTATAGTGGTGGCATTCTAGCAATGCCAGAATCTTGCGGAATAGGGCGGGTTGCCGGAAACCCGGAGCCTTCTTATGTCGTAACTGGAGCAGCTCGACTTTGGCCTTCTTATAGAGCACCATATTGCCTAGCTCAGTCATGAGCTCCAATATGCGTCGGTTAGTCGGGTCCTGTTCGTCGATTTCTATAGCCGGCGGTTCCAGCACCGTTTTCTGGGTATCTAAGACTCTGATGTGCGCGGGTATCTCGTGTTTCCAGGGCCGGCAAGAGAAGAATTTGGAAAGATTCTTAGGAACGCAAAGCCCTAACGACATCCCGAGAGGTGTAGTATTTGATTCCCAACCATGTTCAGAGAGAATCTCCAGTCCGTGTGTAGATCTCGATATTAAACCTAAGACGAAAAATGCGGTACCTCGAAGACTCATCACGTCATGAGATTCGGCGATTTTGACGATATGTTCTACTACATCCGTCGATTCCAAGAACGGGGCTCCGAGTTCCATCGAGCCAACATTTCCAACTGCCCATAAACAGCCTTTAACTTTTGTGATAAGTTCAAGATCATCGGATTGCATTCCGTATTCCCTGATAGTCGCGGCGAACTCCTCGAAGTGGCCCTTGTCTTCGAGCAATTTACAGCCTTCTTTCGTGCGTGTCAATTCCCGATAGAAATGAGGCGGTACGTGGTTGTCCTGGTCTGTATCCAAATCGTCTTCATATATACTAAGGCGGTGCGGTTGATCTTCTTGGGTATCGATGAAAGAACGTGCTAGACTAGCTTCGATAAGACTAACATAGGTATCATTGCGCCCGAGAAACCAGTCGTCCATTTCATTACTTATGTAGTCTAAGCCATCCAAATAGTGATAACCGATAGAGGTGGACAAAAATCGGAGCAGTAACGGTGCTCCAATCTCACCAAGGTGGTCCAACGCAGGCCGGCATTCTACTATATACTCTAACAAGGCCTTACTATTGCAAGCCTTCTCAAGAATCTTGACGGCCGTGGCACAAACCTCAACTTCTGGGTCGTAGAGTTGTGTGACAAGTAACTGAATCGCCCACTTGGAGTCGGAGATAACTTGGCCTGTTGGCGTAACTCGCTGTCTTGTTGCGTATTTTCGAAGTACGTTAGTACTGTGTATTCGCATTTCTTTTGTGCCAGCTGTCAAGGCCTTCGACAGCAGCACGCGCGGGTGGCCGTAAAGACTATAGTCGAGATGACTGAGAAGCAACTTGATGAGATCTGGTCTTTGCTTAAAATCGACGATATGATACATCATGTTGAAGATGCGCCATCTCTCGAGCATCTGTAACCCCTTGGGATCGCTGCTCAGAGCACCAATCATAGGGAAATAACCGCCACACAGCGTATCTGTAAGACGATCTCTCGAAAACATTGGATACTGCGCGGTCAAACCGCTGGTCTAGAAGCAAGAAATAAGTATTTGATCTAAATCTTTCAACATGTATGTTCTTACCGGATCACACTGAGCCAAGCACTCAGCGATTTGTCTCAACAGCTTGTTATCTGCAAGGTATTTTGTCCCTTCCGCTGTTTGGAGCAGCGTATGCATTAGTGCACAGCCAACCCTAACATACTTTTGAGTATTTCGCGTGCTCTTGATCTCCGAAAACTTGAATTTGAAAGGCCGATAGAAGCCTACTAGCCTTTTTGCGAATTTGGATGCCTTGATAGCCTCTTCTAAACGTTTGCCGTTCATGAGCGGTCCTTCAATTATCTTCAGAACGACATCCCAGTCCCATTTGGAAGGGTTCGAATGACCGAGAACTCCTGAGTCTATCAGTAGTTGACGGAATGTAGCATCGTCGGGGTTGATTAAAGCATTGGCCTTCGGTGCTTCTTCTGCGTGGCCCATATTCTCTAACATGCTGCTGGAAGGAAGATAGCCAGGAGCGTAACCCGTCGGAGATGACCGGTACAGCGTCCGGCTTACACTACTTATTTGGTAGACAATCCCGGTCGCGTTGAAATGTGCCTCATCTTCGAAGTGCGAAGCAGCTGCGAATAGTTCGGGGAGTAGCTGAAGTTCGCTACTCCAAGAAGGGGGGAGGATTCTGCTTGCGAGTTTGAGGGTTTCGCCAATAAGCAAAGTTGTTTTTCGTTTCAACATGGGATCGTCGGTACCTTGAGCAACCTGGAGTAGGTTCGGCATCATTCCCGCTTTGATAAATATAGCTAGAAGCAATGCAGTATAGTGCTCTACGAAGTTTTGCTCCGCACCGTCATCTTCGTAGACCGTATCGTCCTTGCTCGGCGTTGAAGACTTCAATGTCGTTACTCTTCCGTACGTGGTCAAACGTCGTCCTGCAAGATACGATGTGGCCCATGCAGGGGGTTTGATACGAAGGAGAGAATAAAGTAAATCCATCACAGTGTCCCGAATCGTCGGGTTAGGCAGCATCAGGCTCGATATCAAGGAGCCGATCGCTCTAAAGTTGTACATAGACAAGGTCATGAGCCCAGACCAACTCTTCAAAGCAAAAGCAATTGCCCTTGAATTTTGTTTTATAACTCCTTCGTACGAGAACAGAGCATCGGTGAAGGCTGTAAATAGAACCTCCAGTTCGTATCCGGCCCGTAAATACCTCCGCGTATGTGGCGCGTCTAGTAGGTAGAGAAAAGCCGAGGATAAGGATTCGGGAGACTTGTAAGTGCCCTCGGCGAGCGCCTCGGATAAAGGCACTAAGCCGCCAGATGCCACAAGTAGCGCGGGATCTCGTAACAGGACTTCGGCGAGTGTTTCGATACAGATTGGCCGGAGCCGATCTTCGACTTGCTCGGCGACTGCTGCTATAGTCCTAACCACGGCCCTAGACACCTCGCGTACACCATCTTTCACATCCAAGAAAGCGCGGACGAACTTGAGAGCCTGCTCGCGTTCCACGTCGGCCTTGCGATCCTTGGCGAGAGACACGACTACCATGACGTCGGTGTTTAAACTACGAATTTTCTTAAGAGAGGCTATATCGGAAATAGCATATCGTAGCATTCGGTATCCCGACGCCACCACCTCCCTACTACCGCTAAGCAGCATGACCTGCATTCTGTCCCCGAAGACAGACCACACCAAGTCATACTTCAGTGTGGGGTGCCGTTTGAAGAGATCTACGAGGTTGTTGGCTCCCCCCACATAGTATTCAGGGGTCATCCCTTCGACTTCTAAAGCTTGCAGTATCTCGGCAAGTGCAAATGTCGGGGATTCTGTCGGCTCTTCGAAGTCGGATCCGGCGCCGCTCCTGGATGCGCTTGGGGGCGATCGCAGACCTTCGTTACGCAATATCCCCTCGTTGCGTGTTCTCGTAGGCGTACTAGGCACGGCCTTAGATCGCTGCGCATCTGTGATTCTCTGCTTCAGCTCTTTTATCCTCGTATTCGAGGCTGTAAGCTCGGCCTCCACCCTCTGGCGTTGCTCTTTGGTCTGTTTTGCTTTTTTTGCATTTAAAGCTTCGAGCATATTCTCGCTTCCCTCCTTTATTTTCATCTCGCGGCTAAGCGAGTCCTTCAACGAATTAAGTGCGGTCTCGGCGATAGAATCGTCATCTTCGTCCAACTTTTCGCGGATGTAGACGTCGGCCCTCGAACCAGCCCTCGACTGCTGAGTTTGGCTGCGTAGGTCGGAACTAAAACTCCCTGGAGGTTGGGAAGGGTTGAAGGAAGCACCACGGCTCGGGGCGAGGGAGGTAGCCGTGGTTGCCATGCTTCGGGCACCATCACCGGGGGCAGGTGGTCGAAGTCCGCCATCGAGGCTCGGTCGTGAGGTGGTGAGGGGAGAATTAGCAGGTTGCGTACCCAACGACTTCTGAGCCGGCGTCGCGGAGGTGCTCAGCATGGTGGCAGACCCGACCAAGTGCCCACCGTCTGGGACCAAGCCGCAGCGCCACTCATGGAGAGAAGCGAATGTTTGGTCAGGCGAATGATAGGTTCGTGTAGTATCGTGACAAGCTAGATATTAGATTGCAAAGACTGGAGGGGGGGATTCAAGGATTGGGCCGACGCGAGCCGTATGTTTTCAATAAGGAAATGAGGAACTGCGCAAAAGGAAGGCTACTACAAGCGAATAAGAGGGTAAAAGAAAGGGAGGTTGTTGTCATGTCTCATAAAGTTGAAGTGCTAAAAGTAATGTAATGTCTGATGTTTGTTGTATCTATTCGTACACTACTGTGCTTTAGTGATTTAGTGGTTTTTAGTGGTTTGGTGGTGTTTAGTTGGGACCAGACGCCTTGTCGGCTTGTGCCAAGAAACAAGGATGGGACGAAGGTGGAGGCGGCGGAGAGAGTACTTTATTACTTACTTTATTACTTAATATTGAAACTTATATTAAACTTTGCTACTGCGACACGTTATCCAGGTAAGCACCTACCTTGGTGATACAATAAGGAGAAACATAGGAGGTATTTACCCTTTACCCCTTTCATACCTCCTAACCTAAACATGTCACATACGTCAGGTGTCCAGTAATAATCTTTTTTAACTTTGACTTGGGTAGATCTATTCGTGGACCGTGGTCTGTACTATTGTATGAGATTACTTAACAGAATATTCCCTATTTTCCTCCGAAAGACAACTCCTATTGGCTAATTTCAATTATACCCCGGATATTATGCGTGCACTCAACTCTTCTTAAACCTACAAATAAAAATCCAAAATTTGATCATTAAACAACTTCGAGACATCAAGAAAGACAATGGCTTTTATAACGTTCTAACTAAATACCAAAGACTTTACAAATCATCAAACATTTTATAAAAAGGCCATCATCCGAAACAACACACAGTTGCCACAAGATTACTGCTGAACACCGGGGTCCACATCCTCATACTTGTCTCCGATGGCAACCTCATCGATCCACAGTTGTCGAGTGCCCTGGTTGCCATCCATGCGCTTGTCGTCGTGCCAGCTATTAGCATACAACCCGGTGCGGAACTGGAAGCCATACTTCTTCTGCGCGTCCCTGTACGTAGTGACGAGGCCGGATTTCTCAAGCGCCTGCTTCCCGTCGAACCACACCTTGTAGTAGCCCGAGCTGTCGCTTTCCCACTTGGCCTGGAGGACGACGCGGTGCCAAGACCCCGGCTTGATCGTGCCGACGGAGAACTTCTTCAGGGTGCTGTCGCACATGTTGCCGCCCTTGCTGCGGATCTTCAGCTCGTCGCCCTCGACCCACATCATCATCGAGGGGATGAAGCCGTCCCCGCACGTGTTGTCGGGGTTGTCCTCCAGGTTGCTGATGAACTGCGCGATGTTGTAGGATTGCTTGGACGAGGTGTCCCAGGTTGAGTGCAGCCTGAAGGCGAAGCCGTAGAACCCCTCGTCGCCGACTTTGTAGACGTCTTTCTTGTAGACTTCCGAGTGGTATCTGCCGGTGTAGCCAGGATCGTATATCTGAACCACTTTGATCGACGAGCCTGAGTTGTAAGACACGTTGTCGACCTGAGTTACGGTTCCTTTGTGTTCGTGGTTGGTTCCATCCCATCCATCTAGTGTTCCGTGGTTTTTAAAGGACGGGGCGGCGGAGACGAGCGTGCAAGGCGCAAGAAGCGCAAGCGCCGCGATCTTAGAGATATACATAGCGAGAAGAGTGTGCTAGATCTTCTTTATAGTGTGATGAAGAGTAAGTTTGACTTCTGTGATGGGAGTTGAGATATTGTATACTAGCCTGGGTAGTTCAACATTCATATATATACCCAACGCGAAGCCTTGACGTTACCTATTCAAATGCGACCTTCCATATTGGATTATTGGGCAATTAGGGTCAATTGGAGTCCTATCCATAGGACTCTAGTCCGTCATTGTGTAAATACAGCCCCTGAGCTTGCTAAATGACTAAGGGAAGCGAGACGTGAAAGTCGTCAGCTAAATCTTGACCTACCATATCAAGAAAGGTTCTTCTTATGGGCATGACATACCACAAAGCCCAGTATAGGTAAATTGTATAAATTAGCTTATAGGGTGGAACCAGACGATTCGCCATTGAAGGGCGATATTCTTCGAGTGGCGCATTAACATACTGTGCAGATCGTTTAAATGAGATCTGACAGCTTCAGCTAGGGCAGTTTCATAGTATTATTACGAAGTAGAAATTACCATATAAGAAAGAGCTAAGCCGCAGTTCTTTGGATTCGGGTAAGGTTGGCGTCAGCAACTTGATGGAAGGCCGAATATATAAAACACCCCTGTCTATTTTCAGCCTTAGCGATTCTATATTTAGCCCCTATATAATTCAGCATTATTTAGAAACAACTTTAGCATGTTCTTTTTATCGAAGCGAACGGTTGTGAGTTTTAACGACTAGGAACCCATCGTCGCCGTGTATATGTCATGGCAATAGGTTATCTATATATTAGCAGCGTAGGGAATATTCTAACCTAGTCCGGTATGAAAGTTACGATTGCAGTCAGCTTCACTGTGAGATGTGTGGTGACGAGTGTGGTGTACGAGGTGTATTGTGTTACCCTCGGATCTCTATACCCCAGGTCATTAGACCTGAGTCCAAAGGCCGCCTCCGTGGGGGGATAGTCTCCTTTACATATTCGATTGAGGGGCTAGATTTCGACCACGAGTATATTGGTTGTGGCATGTAGAAGCTTGACCGGCGTAGAACGTTTCTCACCCGCAGTCATTCCGAATAACAAACCACGTTTATTCACCGGTTACATATGCCTATCAAGAGTCTCACAAGCTTTGGGTAGGTAGTGGATAACATAGAACCTCGGTAGATAGCAAACTACTGAGGATATATTGATAGACACTTGGCCATATCATTCAAATTTTCTCCCAATAACTAACTAGTTATACTAAGTAGAAGAAACCATCTTAGTTGGCATGAGCCGAGTGAACGATATACATACCTGTTTAACTAGGAAGTTGATTGTTGAAGTAACTAACTACTCCAGAATACCTGAGGAGTTCATCGGACATAAACCCGCCTCGCAACTTAGCAACCCTCCCCGAATGGTCTTAGAATGACATCAGCCCGCAACAAAATCTAGATTAGGGATCTAGACCGCATGTTGCCTACATACATTAGCACCAAGCAAGAAGAGTGATATCGGTAGCAAAAAGGTAAGACAGACCGGACAGATAAGAAGTTAAAGCTAGAGCTATGTATATAGGCGTATAGGCGGACCTGAGCAGGGGTAGCTGAGTACCGATTACGGGTAGGAGTCGGCCTTTGGGGTATAGGGGAGTCGGCGAGTTCCGTAAGGTACGGTATGATGTATCGAGCCGCTAAGAATCGACAATGGAAATGATGCGCTACTATTGGCCACTGGGGGGTAAAGTTTAGCTTCTAAGACCCATCCGGAGCCAGTTAACTGGGTCTCTATTTTACGCCATTTCTTTTTTCTTCTTCATCCCGACGCCGTTCTTGTGTCACCAACTACACAGTTACATTTTATTACATACTCCTCTCTCTCTTATCGGTGACCAGCGGACCCAGCAGACGTGAACTCTATAATATCGTATGCATGTACATGCAATGCCGTATGCATCCGCTTCAGGCGCTTTCCGATCTGCAGAAAGCCAACCTGCTGTGTTGCCCAGTCGAGCAGCTAAATCCGGGACTGTCCAAGAGTCCAGGACCCGGATCTGCGTAGACTACTACGTCCCTGCATCCTTATGTGAACCTATTCAGGTTACATAGTACGTATGCAGCTCGATTTGGGATGGAGGGTCGGTAGTCTAGTAAGTGTAGGTCAGAGTAGGTCAGAAGGTTTAGTATGTACCTATAGCTTCGTTTGGTGGCTTGGAGTTTAGGTAGACCGTAGGAAAAAGCTGGAGTATCTCCAACGTATACAAGAGACATAGGACGTATATAAATACGCAGTCTTGTTTCTCCCTTTTCCTTTACACCGAGTTCTTTTCTTTCCTTCTCCTGTAGACTGACTCGGCCAATGATTCACGACTTCCTTTTTCCTATCATTAATTATTATTATTATTCTTACTATTCTTACTTAGTATCCAATTGTCTCGTTTGATTACAATTGTACAGGATAGAGATTCGCCTTCTAATATTTCTGCATCACGTTGCACTTGAGCCATCCCTTATAAAGCAAAGGTTAATCGGCTTCCCAGGTTCCCCCAAAGCTTCCGGCATATTTAACTTAACTCTGAACTTTTACGGATTTCATAATCTTCGTAAATCAGAACCAAGCAAGAGCGAGGAGAATAAGAAAAAGAAGTAAAAAAAAAAAGGCACACTCTTTCCATCATGCCCGTCGTATCAGCAGCTCGGTACGGAAAGGACAATGTCCGCGTGTACAAAGTCCATAGGGATGAGGCGACGGGTACGCACACGGTCACGGAGATGACCGTATGCTGTTTACTCGAGGGGGACATCGAGTCGTCGTACACGGTGGCGGACAACAGCGTCGTCGTGGCCACCGACTCCATGAAGAACACCATCTACATCAAGGCCAAGGAGCACCCCGTGAACCCGCCGGAACTGTACGCCAGCTACTTGGGACAGCATTTCCTAGACCAGTACGCCCACATCCACGCCGCCAATATCAGCGTAGTCGTCAAGCGGTGGACCCGTATGGTCATCGACGGAAAGGAGCACCCTCACAGCTTCTACCGCGACGGCGAAGAGACTCGCAACGTCGAGGCCCGCATTACCCGCCAGGGAATCGAGCTTACGAGCGGCATCGCGGGGCTCCTGGTGCTGAAAAGCACCGGGTCCGCCTTCCACGGCTTCATTCGCGACGAGTACACCACGCTCCCCGAGACCTGGGACCGCATCCTCTCGACCGACGTCGACGCCACCTGGAGTTGGAATACCCTACCGAGCGTGGCGGCAGTCGAGCAGAAGGTAGCGCAGTTCGACAAGGCCTGGGAAGACGCCCGTCGGATCACCATGAAGACGTTTGCGGAAGAGAGTAGCCCCTCGGTCCAGCACACCATGTATAAGATGGGCGAGCAGATCCTCGAGGCCGCATCTGAAGTCAAGTCAGTCACTTACGCGCTGCCCAACAAGCACTACTTTGAAATCGGTAAGTCTACTTTTTTACTTATCTATCTCCTGTTCTCCCGATAAATTTTACGCCGACCAGCCAGTTTCTAACCGTATTCACCCTTCACAGATCTATCCTGGCACAAGGGTCTCAAGAACACGGGCAAGGACGCCGAAGTATACGCGCCGCAGTCCGGGCCCAACGGTCTGATAAAAGTCGAGATTTCGCGCTCGTAGACGTCGTTTTCTTTCTGCAGATTTCAAATGTGTACCATTGTCTTTGGCGTAATGCGCGGACCTGCGATTGCTTCTTTTTTTTAATCCGCAATTAATTGGGGAAATGGGATTCTAGCCGGGTTATGAAGTTGTTATTGCATCGGAACGAGTATCTAGATACCATCTCAAGATAAACATCTCTCAATACTCGTGAAATCCTCTTTTCGTACCTGGAACCGTGCTGTTAAATATCATTTATATATATGGCCATTTTCATGATTCTGGCTCTTAGTATTCCCCTTACACCCGCAACGAATATACGGCCTGCAATCTACCTAGGAGTACCAATTTCTCGACCACATACGTATCAATTTGGCTGTCATGGGATGCATTCATTATACACGTACGATGTAGTACATAGCAGATATGTAGGGCCAGAGGTATTCCCCTGGCAAAGTCCACTCTCTCTCTCTCCCCTCCCCCGCCCGTAAGCCTCCCTTGATGCTCATATTCCTTAAAGCTCCCGCCAAAGCAACATTCCGCTATAACCTCTGCGCACCCGCCTGCCTTATCGCCTGAACCGCCTCGGTCCAGCCCTCCTTACCCACCTCCACGCCACCAAACCGTATCAAATTCTTCTTGAACGGGTGCGCGTCGCCCTCGAACGCCTTTAACCGAGCGAGCCTCTTATCCCGTAGTCGATTCTTGGGCAACATGCCGCTGACGGCCTTGCGCAGGACCTCGGCGCCGCCGTGCTTGGCCATGAGCACGTCCATGGTGACGGACTGCAGGGAGCCGGGCCGCGTGTTGTGTCGGTAGTACGTCTTCTGCCACTTCTTGCGGCCGGTGACGTGCAGGGCCGCGCAGTTGGTTACTACCACGTAGTCCCCGCAGTCCGTCGACGGGTCCCAGATCGGCTTGTGCTTGCCCATGAGGATCACGGCGATGCGCGAGGCTAGACGGCCTAGAGATGGAGGGGTTACGTTCGGTTGCGTGGAGAGTGTCGGGTGTGGCGCCGAGGCGGAGACATGGTGCCATACTCGCGAGTAGGCTAGTTTCGTCTGTTGGGAGAGTAATACTTGTGAGTCTTGGCTATTCGCTATTCCGCTTCGACGAGTTTGGAAGGGGAGGAAGGGGAGCTTACCAGCCCGATAGTCTGCGACATGGTGACGGTGACGGCTCTCGAGGGAGCGTTAGCCCCTCGTCGTCAAGGTATATTTTTAACTGTTCGATAGCCTCGACGAGGGGGCACATGTATGACCTAGAGGACCCTTTATGGTACTGCAATGGCACGTTTGTCGCCAAATTCGCGGCTTCAGGGTTTATTGGATGTTTAAGGTGCGATCACTAGCAGAATTCGATATTCAACAAGTCACGTGTGCGGTAGGGGACCGATCAGCCGATATCTAAGTTTCCCCGCCTATCGATAAACGATATCATTTTTTAGCGCATAGCGATAAACTAAGTGACGCCAGTTGCAAGCACCGAGGACCGAGCCCGCATCTACTATGTACTATTAGTTGTACCTTTGTAGGAAGAGTCGGCAGGTCGGATCAATACTGAGAAAGGAATTGCGATTTCAAAGCAAAAGTCCTGCTTATTACATTTTATTGGTCTATTTAGTTTACGTAAAAAAAGGGTAGGTTTTCTATCGTGTAAGTGAATGGCTTCCAGCCGTTTCTACACCATCGATAGTACAATGTAATATTATGAAGCTCCCTTCATCCCCTCTTCCGTCTTGGAGCATATGATGCTGAAATATTTGCACGGTATATCATTTCGCTCCTTTGCTACGCGTACTGGCTATTTCTTCCTTGGCGTCGCTGCTGATTCTTATTATCACCGTAACCAGCGAGAAATTCCCCTTCGTATTACAGGTAGATATCCTGTCACTACTAGCGACAAGATGGCGGTTCATAATCAGGCCAAGACTCCTTTTCAGGTCCGTCTATCTACCTTTTTTTTTTTTTTTTTTTTTTTCTCATGACCATTTAGTCGTTACAAGTAGCCTTAGAGAAAGAAATGTTACCTATTTATCAAGTTCAAAAAAACAGTATAAGCTAATAGGAGCATGAACGAAATATATAGACCTTATTCGCTGTGCCGATGACCTGTGACGGCTGTGTCAAAGATGTTTCGGATGCGCTATATAAACTCGGAGGTATCACTAAGGTCGAAGCCGACCTAGAGAAGCAGCTTGTAGCAGTAGAAGGGACCGGTAAGATGAACCCATACGCAAGAGAGGCTGGCTACACAGTTGACAGTTGAAAGATGTCGATCTGAGACTAACACAATATGTTCCCTTAAACAGCTGCTCCGTCCGCAATCGTTAGCGCTATTGAAGCTACAGGCCGGGATGCTATTCTAAGAGGGTCAGGTGCTTCGAATAGTGAGTGAAATATTATATTTCCTTATTATATTTCCTTCCATACTACCTTGTGTATTTTTATTTGGATTTATTATTTGGATTTAATGTAAAGCATCGGTTGTTACTTTAAAGCCGCACGGAGAAGGTCATCAATCTCCTTTACCTCATGCCGAGCTTCACCGAAGCAGCCGGCTTACGCTCCGGATCTCCTAATTCGATACGATAATCATTGGGCTCTTCCAGCTAGCTGATACAGATCCTTCTAGGCGCAGCTGTGTGCATCCTCGAGACGTATCACCGCAATGAGAAGGGTGGTGATGCATTGGTGCCTGCTTCTGCTCCAGAGGCAGATACGGAAGGATCTGGAGTAAATGACAGGGAAGTCAGAGGCTTGGCCCGCATGGTCCAAGTCTCTCCTACAATAACCTTGGTGGATTTGACTGTTCGTGGAGTTAAGCCTGGTACATACTCGGCCAGCATAAGGGAATACGGCGACCTCAAGCTTGGTGCTACGTCTACGGGTCCGGTATGGGCAGGCGGAAGTGGCACAACGCAGCCCCGGGGGATCTTGGGTACTGTGCAGGTCGGAAAGGATGGCCGGGGCGCAGTATTCTTTGACCATCCCTTCCAGGTTTGGGAAGTCATTGGACACGCGATGGTTGTTTCTAGTCAGCAAGAAGGGGTCACGGAAGCGAATCTGAGCAATGATGAGAATACTGTCGTTGGTGTTATTGCGAGGAGTGCCGGCATGTGGGACAATGATAAGACGGTATGCTCGTGTACTGGCAAGACGCTCTGGGAGGAAAGAAAGGACGAGGTAAAGAAAGGTATGATCTAAGACTTGAGAACCGGTTCGGTATAGGTTTTAGATCCAGCAACGTGTATTAGAGTAAGGATTATTCGTAAAGACTATTGGTATCCAATAAACACCGTTGATACATAGAAAGCATCCAACCCTGGAAGCTCAATTGGGATTTAGTCTCGTCGACATTGACGGTGTCTATGTATACATGATCCCCCTGCTCGTCCCTTATGCAGGGACATTCAGGGTCCAAGTCTTCCAAATTTATTCAAACGGCAAAGAAATAATTTGTCATAGCACAATTTGCCATGTTGTTAATGGCGGCTGTTCATAGTTGATTATGGCAGCTCGGCAGTCGCTTTGACGGGCTTACATTGGACGACATTACATGGAATCAGACGACAGATCTGCTCTGATCATGCCATTCGATTTATTCGAATAAGAAACGCCCCTTATCAACGCGGGCATATCTAGCAAGCATATCAGGTAGGGGCTCGGGATAAAGATGCCGAATTTGCGTGCCTAGAAGGGTTCGATGGATTGTGTGGTATCCTCTGGGCGATGGCACCATGAACCGACCCATGGTGGCGCCACGCAAGTCCAGGCGTATTTAAAGAATCTCATGATGAAGGACCGCCAAGGATTACCTCCTTGGGACGCTGTTCCTACGTCAACCACTACGGTCACAGAACCAAACGAAACATTGTAGGGACGAAGTCGTAATGGTTATTGCAGTCTTGCATACCCCTTTCTCACATCGACGAAAATGTTGAAGATAGTCGATAATCGTGGAGAAAAGCTTGAAGGATGATAGATCATCGAACGAGACGGCGTGATCATGATCTTTCTTTCTTTCTGGCGGCGCGCGGAGAAGTCGTGGGTAGGGGTTTATCCAAAGCCAAGTCCCTATCTGACATTTTATGACTGAAGAACGAAAAGCTTGGCTTCATGGCCGACTCCGGGGCCCCGGCTATTGGCAATTTACACAACATACTTTAGGTATGTATGAGGAGAGGTTAAGCGGTTGGTTCCGCCATTCCCATACCCTTCTTCACCCCTCATGTCTTCGTCTCTCATGCCTTGAACCTAACTCACCGACCGCATCTTCAACACCAAGCTTTTAAGCTCAGATAACTTTCCTACACCGGACTTATCTAATACACGAACATAGCGCTCACCTCTTAATGCAGACCTTGTCACAAGAGCGCCGAGAGTCCCACTTAGCGGTGACCGGGAACACGTGGAATGAGACAAATAAGATCAATTCAAACGCACTTACTTAGGTAAAAGAGTATGGCATCCTACATAGTTATCGGTACCTACCGGTGGAGGCCGTATGCAACAAGGATGCTACTGTAGATAAAAAGGTTACCTACTACCCATTTGTGCGGTTGAAGAATTTTTGTGATTGTGACGGAGAAAGAAGTGGGATAGAGAAATATCTACGAATGGCTGGCATATACATGCAACCTCTTTAGCCCATTAGATAAAGTACATAATGTACATAATTACCCGCGGGCGAAGGATCAACAAGCACCAAGCTATTGAGATCGGTAGGCAGGTATGTCATGCTCGACTACTATGTATGACGGGCATCGCTACTGAAAACACGGACGTTGCACTATCTAAGCAGGGTCTAGAGGATCAAGGGAGGATCGCTTTAGTTTCGATTCTTTTTCCTTTTTCCAAAACATTACCCGTGTAGTAATACATAGGCAGCATTCATTACTATGTAGCGACGTCTCGTTGAGGCTCTAGAGATCTGATCCGCTAAGGAGGTTCAGATCACAGATGTCGTGGGCCCAGGGGCTTCTGAATAACACGGACCTTTTGAGATTTGGGGATCATCAAACACCCGCCCTGTCCTTTATGCCGGGCCTGACTACTCGCTTTAACGGATGTACCCAGCTAATACTATGTAGTGGATATAGATGTCAAAGACTAAGGGTAGGAAGACCGCCTCAAACGCATTGGAGGGAAGCGAGTTTCGCAACAGACTGAGATGTTACTATGCAATCCAGTAATTCTGACTCTTCAGTCTTCAACAATTCTCCAGCTGACACTCATTCGTATCGTAATGACGTGCGTCTTGTAGAGATGGTGTAGAGCTACCTAAGACCGGGAGTTAGAATCCGCTACGATGGGATGGGATGGATATTTTGGAATATCATAGGGGAACACTGGGCAACTATGTAGGATGGGCCTCTCGGAAGGTAAGAATGTAGCACGCCGTTCGATTGCATCGTGCATATGGAGAGATGAGATGACTAGCAGGCATCAAATTGAGTTTGGTAACGACTTTACATGCCTTACACGAACAGAATAGGCATAGCATAATCGATGACAAGCCTCGTTTAATCCTCCGACCACGAGTTGTGAGGGAGCATCACATGCATTACTGCGAGTGACGAACTGTGCTGAATAAAACTAGAAGACTTGTCGGCGCGTAGATATGATCCTACAATAATCCGTACCGATTCGGGTAAAAGAGAAGAACTACGATGTGTGCAGATTACCTATTCCGGGTTCGAGATGAGATGACACCTGGGCACATGAGCCATGCATGTACCTACATAGACAGCTCGGGTAGGGAGCTTGTTGATTCATCTATGTACGGGAAAGTTCTCGAAGGTGTTGTAATAAGAATTGTGAAGGGAACAATAAGACGAACAAGACATTGTACACGGCCTAGAGCACTGACTGGCTCGATTCAGATTTTAGGCGCCCTTGGAAACGCCTTGGAGTCCGACACTGCGGGGGCTTTGCCGAATCCCGTCAACCAATCATACCCCCTTAATCGACTCTTTGGAACGCTTGCTGCATGAGGAGAGACAGGGTCCGTTCCAAGTTGCAACCCCAAGGGCCAAAAGAGTAAGAGGCTAGGATTAATATCGACAACTGTTGCTACTTTGCCATACTACATACACTGCTTAATGCTCGTTGCTGAAGAAGTTAAGTTACATACACTAGTAATCAATCACTGACTAGTTAGAAGACTAGAATACGTACATGTATATGGAAGTCTTGGTGGTGAGTCGTGATTATGAGCATACCACATTCGTTTATATCGTCTATAACGAGATCCTCTCAGGGAGGGAAGGCCTCCGTAGAGATGGCTCGATACATAGAACGAACTGGCGTTAATCACCCAAGGGGTAAACGAAGGAAGGTAAAATAAACGACCAAGTAGTCTCGAGACGGTCTCAGGCGGTACTGGTACTGCCTCCTAGTATTTTCATCCACCATCCTCCTGATCTATAAACAACTTATACGTCGTGCGATCAACTTCATTGTAGATTGTTGTTGGTACGTCCGTAGGCGACCAAATTTCAGTATCGATGGCGCGAAGGAGTCGGTTAACTACTCTGCGCGCTTGTTAATGAGGCTGTACTACTTGTAGGCGCCTTGGCCGCCAGTAAAGTTGTTGTTTAGATGAGACAATCTAAGAACATATTGGATTGTATATTGTATATTGTTCGCTTGATCATGACAGGTCGAACGACTGGTTAAGAAGTTGAACTTCCGAATACCAACCAGCTTCTTGCTACCCTCACATCTGAAGCCGGAATAAAAAGGGACGGACGGCCGGCGCTCATTTAGAAGTTTCCCCCTCCTAGCTTTTCTACGTAAGCCCACAAGCCCAAGCCCTCGGTTGAGAAGATAGGTTAGGTACATAATACCCGTGTACCCAACCTACCTCACTACATACACTATCCCTACCCCTGTCTCTCCCTACAGTCTGGACCCTGGTTAAGCATCATCGTCGTTTTGGCTGCCCGCAAAGAGGGCACTCCGTATCCACAAGCATCACAATCGGCCAAAGCAAAAGCCGGGGGGGACTCATTAAGAACATTTTGAGGAATAAGTACGTACTCAAATAATACATACAATTCCTAGCTGGTCCGGAATTCTGACCAAAAAAGACCCAGATTTACCAGTCTTTTCCGTCCAATGCTCCGCTTGGCACAAGGTCTCGTTCTCGCCTGTCACTGTCTTTTCCGACTTTCATCCACTCTCAGTCCTTCTGTACGCGCTGGCTTCGTCGTCGTTCCATCCACTCATTACTTGTCATTACTTGTTCTCAAATTACAAGAACTGCAAGTCACTCCAATCTCATCACCGACCTAATCCATTCCTTGCAGCGCAGTGCGAAGAAATCGGCCTAGTCTATCTACCTGGCTACCTTTCTAGGTATCTAATAAGTTCAATACGTCTAATCGAGTAATCGAGTAATCGAGACAAGTCCCACCCCGTTGGGTTGGCTCGTGGTCGTCGTGCGTCTTGTACCTACATATCCCACCAACACCCCCGACCTTTTTTTGGCATTTTTTATTTTATTTTGCCTGCCACAAAGGGACTTGCAAAAGATCCGCCCCTCCGTCAGCCAAAATTACCAGGACCAGGAGCTTAGACGCCGCCAGTAGCCCGTAGTTAGGCTCTCATCTAACCCGACCCCCAATTGCGAAAAGAAGGGATTCCGATCTTCAAGTTGTTATAAATCGCATCTTCCTAATAAAGGACCCAACCAGTCCGCTATTTTACTTACTGCCAAGACTATTATTAGCAACGGGAAATTCAAAGACGGGAGAGCGGCTATTAGGGCACAGGAAACTAGTAGAATAGGTGTGATTAAAGACCAAAAAAAAAAATACCAACCTTCTAGCCTTGGCCAAAAACGCAAAGACCAACAATCCAAGGCTGAGCTGAGCTGGATACGAACAAAAAAGGGGCGACTCGAAATTCTAGGCATTAGTATCGCCTCAAGGAGCGGCCCCCCTTCTACCTTTGCTTTCTGGACAAAGCAATTGGTACTAATTCAAGGCTCATCCCGGCGACACAATGTCTTTAAAGCAGGTAGGTTGATGTTTGGAGGGATGGTGGGCGTGCGATTGAGAGAGAGCATAGAGTTGCTAATACTCTATCTAGGAGATAGAATCGTGGGTGTCGGCCTTGAGCCGATACGACAACAATGAATTCGAAGAGGCGCTGAGGGAATTCGACAACATCGCGGATACGTCTAAGATTCTGTTTAACATGGGTGTTATACATGCGACTCTAGGAGAGCACGAGAAAGCTGTAAGCTACCTAACATACCTAACATACCTCCTAACTTAGTTATCCCAAGTTAATTCGCCTTCTATAATGCTAACACTTTTCTGCTCCTAGGTCGAATGCTACCAGAGGGCGATCCGACTAGATCAATACCTTGCCGTGGCCTATTTCCAACAGGGCGTATCCAACTTCCTGCTCGGCGACTTCGAAGAGGCGTTAGCGAATTTCAACGATACCCTACTATATCTCCGAGGCAATACGATGATCGACTACGCGCAACTAGGCCTGCTATTCAAACTATACTCTTGCGAGGTGCTGTTCAACCGAGGTCTCTGCTATATCTACTTGCAACAGAAGGACGCGGGTTTGCAGGATCTGAATTTCGCGGTAAAGGAAAAGGTTGTCGAGGATCACAATGTTATCGACGAGGCTATTAGGGAAGAGGCAGAGGTGCGATTTTCTTTTTTTCTATTCTTGAGATTTTATTTTATTCAGACTGGGTACTAATGCTCTATTATAGGGCTACACTGTATTCTCCATCCCCGTGGGAGTCGTATACCGGCCCAACGAGGCCAAGGTACGGAACTTGAAGACGAAGGACTACCTAGGAAAAGCCCGCCTGGTGGCCGCCTCCGACAGGGCGAACGCGTTCACGGGATTCGCCGGGTCGGAGATCAAGAACGCCGGGAGGGCAGCGGAGAAGGACGACCGTCCGGCGGACAACATCTCGTTCGCGGCGACGAACCTCGTCAAGCCGGGCCTGCAGAGCAGGAGACAGCAGTCAGAGCCGCCCGCCAGCCGCAACGCTTTCCCCCCCACGCCACCGCCCGAGAACGACAAGCCCGCGGCCATGACCCGCGCCGCTTCCGTCCGCAACGGCCCCAAGCCCATGCCCGCCCGCCTCAACATCCCCGAGCCCTCCAAGAGCAACCGCTACGACAAGATGAGCTCCCCGCGCAGCGAGCGCAAGGCGCCCTCGTCCAGGTCCGCGTCCGAGATGCGCTCGCCGCCGCGCAGCTTCTCGCGCGCCGACCAGCCCCGGATGCGGCGCTCTAGGAACGAGGACGACGGGTACCCGGAAGACGTGTACGACATGTACGGGGGAGGAGGAGGCGGTGGTGGTAGTAATAGTAGTGTGGGCCGGGGCCAGAGCCGGCGGAATCCGCGGTACATCGAGGAGGAGGACGAGGCGAGCGACTACGACTCGTTCGACGAGGGGGAATTCGAGATGGTGACGAACCGGCGGCCGGGGGGCACGTCGGTAGCGGGGGGTTCCTCGCGCGGGGGGTCTCGACGGCCGGAGATCCGCAAGGTGCGGATAAAGGTGCACGCGGAGGACGTGCGGTACGTGATGGTCAGCACGACGATCGAGTTCTCGGAGCTGGTGGACCGGATCCGGGATAAGTTTGGCCTGCGCCGGCGCTTCAAGCTCAAGGTGCGCGACGAGGACGTGCCGCAGTCGACGGATATGATTACCATGGGCGACCAGGACGACCTGGACGTCGCTATGATGAGTGTTAAGCAGATGGCGCGGAAGCAGAGGCTAGATATTGGCAAGTTGGAGGTAAGAATTTTACTTACTCTTCTCTCTTATTTCTTTTTTCCTTTTTGCCTCCTTATTATTAAGAGAATGATGCCCTCTCTCCCCTATAACGACCACGGGTTTGGCTGACGAATATATTCTCCAGATATGGGTCCAAGAGATCTAGACGTTTTTTCTTTCCTTCGTGTGCGGCATTACGATTACAAACGATACCCAGCATTGCGATCTGAATCTGAACTTCATACGATGTAACGAACAGACTCTCATCTTAGCTTCGACTCGTTCCCAGCATTTTTATCATTACTACTACTACTATTACTACTACTGTCTATTACTACTGATTGATCTTCGCTCTTCCATTTATTCCCCAACCCCCCTGCCCCTTTTCAGTCCAGTTTCTCCAGCATCACCATATCATATACCTCCTTTTAGTAGCCATCTTGAATTTTGAATATTCACATCATCATCATCATCACCATCACCATCATTATTCCGATGTGGTCCCTCGAACAATCGGGGCTGATCCGGGGGGTTTGCTCTAATGCGTTACGAAACGAAGAAGCGCGGCAGTTTCACATTTGACTCCCCTTCCCCTTCCCCTTCGTAGGGGATGGCGATCCGAGCCATACATAAAATCAAGACGGGGATATCTCTAAACCGGCGATTACTGAAGCACAGCCTGCATCAACTCGTTTATCCTGCGTTTTGCAACTGGATCCCTTGATCAAACATCTCGATATGCCTCATCGTTCTCGTCACATCACGTCACATCACATAACAAGCAAGCAAGCATTATATATATCCCCAGCTTAGATTTGGATAACCGGCGAATGGATTTCACGGCCGAACGGGTGGTGGATAGGATGGGATTGGAGGAGTATAATGCAATTTATTATCTATTATACTTATTTTTATTTTCTACTTGCTTTTTTTCTGCTATCAATGTTTGATCCTGATCTTGGTGGTGGTGTTTCGAAGTACGAGCCGTATAGTAATATACTCGTTGCACGGGTGAGCTGCTAGGCTCCGAAGAAGGGGGACGGGGAGGGGAGGGGAGGAGATGTTATTTGTTATTTTTTATTTTTTATCATTCTCTTTTTGATGGAGCATTGGAGTTCATTGGCTTGAATGTAATTCAGAGATGGATAGGAGATCATCTGGTAGACAAAAGACCCGTTGAAGGCTATCTTCATAACAGAGCTGTTCACATCATCTTCGCGTCTAGACGTAGATTGACTCGATGCATGTTGTATAACTTCTAGTACTTTACCCCTGGTGGGATAGTAGCAAAAGTAACTTGGTTTAATAATAAGCATTTCATCGGCGTACTCAAAACCCCGAATTATGCACCGTTAAATATATACTTAAGATTGTATAAGTCATCTCCTGACCCATATACGACGGCCTATGTTGCGGAGATGAAGCAACCCGATACTTGATCACGCAAAAGACAAGACACCACCTACTCATCATCTTCCTCTTCCTCATCCTCCTTCGCCGCCTTGGCCTCAGCCCTAGATCTCACCCATTCGGCAGCCTTAGCACTAACTCTCTCTCTACTTTTTGTGTCACCGTTCTTCTCCTCCCAGTCAGCCCATCTCTTGAACCACTTCTTCGCCGCCCTAGCCTTCAACCCTTTAACCCGGATAGCGCGCTCGAATATGTCGCGGATGGCAGTCTTATCGGCACCAGGCACATCCTCGTGGTCAAGCAGTTGGTTCCAGAGGTCAAAGCGCTTGGGGAAGGTAGCCAGCAGGCCTTCGAACATGGTGCGCCCTAGTTCTGGATTCCGGTGCGGCGAGTTAAACTCAAGCGCTGCAAACTTGGTCATCAGCGGGAAGCGCGCGTGGTTCGGGAGCGCCTGGGTGGCCCGGGGTAAGAGCGCACGGGCACGCTCAGGTTGGTTCTGGACGGCATGCAGCCAGTGTGCGTAGTTATACCAGACCTCCGGCGATTCTGCGCCGAACTTCTTGACGAGGGTTTGGAAAAGGTCATCTGCTTTCTATAATGCTATTAGCATTGGTGTATACAAGAGTGAAGTTGAAATACGACTTACCCCAGCCTTATCCTCCTGGATGTAGATGCTGGCCAAGCGTTGGTAAACCTCTTGCTGATCGTTGACCTGGCAAGCACGCTTGAAGACTTCGTCAACGCTGTCTTCGTTGCCGAACCGGACTTCAAGATTGAGGTAGGCGATCCAAGCGTTGAGTTTTTCCGTCTCTTCAGTACTACTAATGGTCGTAATGGCACGCTCAGCTACCTCACGAGCTTTTGCGAGTTCGCTGACTTGCATCTGGTGAGCCATGTACTCAATCCAGAGCGCGGACGAATTGGGCTGGCGGTTGAGGAGCTGCTCATAATCGACAGCCGTCCTGGGGCCAAACGCGTCCAGGTCACCGCTCTTGTCCACTTCAATTTGCGGCTTTCTTCGCTTCTTCTTTTTCTGTGTCGCGCTTGCATCTTCGTCCGCATCATCATCATCCGCCCCGTCGACCTTGTCAAGCGCATCGGTGGACCAGTCAAACCCGCCAGCGTCGAGAGGAGCAACATCGTCATCCTCCTTATCCACCATCTTAGTATCCTCATCATCAGTATCTTCTGCCTCCGAATCATTATCGGTCCCTCTTATAACTATAGAGGTACCTGCATCCCCCATCTCGTCATCGTCATCGTCATCATCGTCCTCGTCCGAATCTCCCAACAGTGCAGCACCGGCATCTTCATCCTCGTCACTGTCGTCGACCTCCATATCATCCACACCCTCAAAGTATGAGGGCTTTAAGCCGAAGCTTATTCGCTTCTTCTGCTTGTCAAGCTTTAAGATAATCGCCTTGACCACGTCACCCTCGGCAAAGAGCTTTCGTGCATCCTGGACAGATTTTTCAGCCATCTCGCTGCGGTGACATAACCCGCTAACATTCGCAGAGCCTTCGATGACGATAAATGCGCCAAATTCCTCCACTTTTCGGACCTTGCCCGTGATGATTTGGCCCTCGTGGAGGTCAGAGTAATTGATGAGCGGAACAAAATCTTTATCAACGACTGAAGCCTTGAGGCTCATCTGTATATGGCCTGTGTCAGAATCTACCGAGATTATTCGGCCCTTGATAAGCTGGTCAATTTGATACTCATCCTTCCAATCCTTGAGATACCTATCCGAAAGATCCGAGATCTTGACCATTGCCGTTACATTTCCACCAAGACTCACGAATAAGCCTTTGTCAGAGACATTCTTTACGAATCCTCTAAGAATATCACCGACACTAACTTGAGACGCCTTAGTGATTTCGCGGTCTTTAACAGGCAGGGAAGAATTTAACACTCTCGAAGGACGAGTCGAGAGCCGGATTTTCTTGTTGCTCTTATCGACTTCGACAACTGAAACTCTAGTGATGTCGTTCTTGTTGTAAGAAAGCGTGTTTGCTTCGCCGTAGTTATCACTAACGTCTATTAAATGCACCGGGCCAGAGACGACATCGCTGAGGTGCACAATGATCTGCCGTTCGTTAATCTTTGTAATCCGACCGGGAAGAACCATGTTCTGTTTAACTGTTTCCCAAGTGAGGTTCGCCGACGAGCCTGCGGAGCGTGCTGAGAGGTCAAGACGGCCTTCGGCCGCATTAACTGCGAGAACACGAACTTTCAACGCGGACCCGATTGGGAAGCTCGAAGCTAGATTTTCGAGTTGAGAAACGTCATCTGATATCTCTAGGGTGTTAATCCTGCCTCGTACATTAGGCGAGAGAGTTACCCAAAGGGAATTATTATCAACATTGTTGACGAAGCCAACATGAGTAGAACCGGGCTCTAGTTTATCATATGATAAAACCTGTGGAGCATCTTTCTTTAAGTCGCTCGGTCTTGCAGACAGCTCAAGGACCGAGTGGGTTGATCGGTGCGATATGGGCAAGAAGCGATGGTTTCTGGCATCGTGGACACCCAACACTCGGACTGTAATTGTGCTATTCACCCGGAACGTACTTAATGGAGACTTCGGGTTTGAAATCTTGTCCCAAGAGTCGAATACTTGGGAGACATCAACACGGCCTTGTATGTTATCGGAAAGCTTGACGTTGAGTTGCGTATTCTTAACCGATGTGATTTTGGCCTTGACAATCTTGCCTATGAAGATATCATCGGTCGAGGAAATAGTCTCGTCTACCGGGTTCTCAATCTTGTTCGATACGGTAGAGGTATCGTTCTTCGAACCCTTATCATCTTCAAGTAAAGGGGAAGCAGCAACAATCCTGCCACGATCTCTGTCTACAGAATCAATCTTAACTAGTATTGGCTGATATTTTTCTAGACCAAAGTCTGTCTTCTTTTGGTCTTCCTGGGGCAATTTTGACTTGGGTAACAAGGCAGTGAGCTGACCACAGAACTGGACAAAGGCTGCCGTAGCAGTAATATTTCTTACGAAGCCTTGCCGAAGGTCACCGACTTTAGCTCCTTCCAAAGATGTGAGAAGTTTCCCATCCTGTTTCGCCTTGACGAAGCTAGGTTTCTTCGATAATGCTATGTATCGGCGACCTTCGTTCTTCTCTAGGACCACGAGGTCGTTGAGGGTCTGTCCGACACGGACATGTTTCAAGGCAGATTGGCATTTGTTGGGTCGATCGGCTAGATGCCATACCGATAACATGGCCTTCAGGGAGCTGTCAGTTAACTCGACAAACACATCGTCCTCGGTTTTCTGCACAACTTTAGCAGAGACAATATCTCCGAGCTGGAGTTTCTTGAGGGCGTTTTGTTTGTCGAGACCAAAGGCGGAAGGGTCTTTGCAGGAAACGAAGAGTTTTCGTGCCTCCACATCGAAACTTAAGACATGTACGCTGACAACTTGGCCAATACGGAAATGCTCTTTTGGATCTTGGATATACGCCTCGCTCATTTCCGAAACTGGCAAAAACCCTCTGAGCGTACCATAAAATTGTACGATGGCACCGTTGGCAAATACCTTAATGATGGTACCCGGAACTTGCATGCCCACAGTGACTTCGTCAAACGACTTCAGGGGGACCGCTTCGGAATTTACAAGCGTCTTCTTCAATGTAAGCTTAACTTGTCGTTTGACTAGATCGGTTGAAAGCACTCGAGCTTTAACTTTGAGTCCTTCTCGAAATTTTTTCTCGGGATGCTGTAGTCGAACATCTGCCAAATGCATTT